GGAAAAAGAGTGCTCCGGGGGCAGAGCGGGCAAAAAAAAAAAAAAAAAAAAAAAAACAAAAAACAGAAGTAATCCTTCACTAGTCATTGAGATCACCCCATGCATGAAGAGAACACAAGAAAGGGCTTTTCTGGGACAGGCATTGCAGAGGACACTTGACACACTTGTCCTTTTCTGTCCTGCTTCTTCCTCCACCCAACTTTGGGTTTTTAAATTATTTTTCCTTCTTTACTTAAAATGCTATGGTGAAACATTTTATGTGATGGTTACTTAGCAGAGTAAGTAAGATAAGCCACAATTGGATTTAATTATAGCCTATGAAAACTCCTTTAAGACATTCATAAAATATAAGATCCCATAGAATCTCTAACTCAGAAGCAGTCAATTTTTCCTTCTCTGTTGCTACAAGTCACTTTTTTCAGCTCATTTGAATACAAAGAGATTGTCTTGCCTGTAGAGGTGCCTAGCCTGTCTTTAGCTAAAAATATGCACTCGCTATTTAAACAGTCTGTGATGGAGACGTACAAGTTATTTTCTTCCATCTCACACTGACTGCATGGCATACACTCATGAGTGAATATGCTTGAGTTATTTGTGAGTATCTGTATTTGAATTTCTGGGCATACATGCCACTCCAAGGCAAGCCGATGTCAATTTTCCTTGACCTATGCTTTTGTGCTCTGCTACCATCATGACACTACTTATATGAAGGAGGGGGAGTGATGTTGGCCATAAATGAGGCCAAAGCCAGTTTCACAAAGGCCAGTGTGTGGCAAGTGAATGACTCAGCTGAGATGTGGCCTACTGGGGCTGGGCGGTGGTGCCGTGGTAACCTAACTAGACCCATCTGGGAAGGTCCTAGACTTGTGTCCCAGGACTTCCCTCTACACACTGGATATATACACGCTCGTAGTTCAGGCTGATGGAGACCAGGGTGGATTGTGGCATTAGAACCCTGCTGGAGGGGCCAGCAGGTGGTGTGGTGGATAAGGGCGCTGGATTCCCACATGGCCAACCATGGATCAAGTCCTGGACCTGGTGGCTTGCTTTCTCCCTTTCCCTTTCTCTCTCTCTCTCTCTCCTCTCTCTCTTGTCAAATAAAGAAAAAAATATATAACAATAACAAATGGAAATAAATAAATAAATAATTATTAAAAAAAAAAAGAACCCTGTTGGAAATGTCTGTCTGTCTGTCTCGGTTTCTGTCTTTGTTTCCCTTAGGGAAGAAATAGACTTTAAAAAGGTAGAAAGAAGCTGGCTTCATAGCACAACAGTTAAGCACTGTGTGGAGGGAACTAGGTCCCTTGTGGTCAATTGCAGTTCAAATCTTGGCCCCTGTAGCTTCAAAAATACAGTGGACACATAAGCACATGTGCCCAGGATCCTGACAGGAAGGAGGAATGGAGGAACTGGCAGGTGTGCACTTTCTTTCTCTCCCTCTCTTTCTGTCTTCCCTTAGTGTAAACACATGCCTTCAGGCATGAAAAAAATAACTTAAAGAAAAAAGTGGCCTATCTCTCAAACACTTGACTCAGTGGGATGACACTTTCAATGTCACTGCCTCCTGCAGTGTTTGGCCACTTTAAGGTTCAAGGAACTTCTTCCTTCTGCTTCTCTTAGTGTGAAATTGTGTTCTCACATGCAACCTACAAAGTTGAGACCTAAGTCTGATAGACATTTCTTTACTCTTTCAGGTCTGAGAAGATACAAAAAGCGTAGAAATAAAAATTATGAATGCCAGAATGCTGCAACCGTCATTTTGGTAGGTGTCAAAACATGCATCAGCTTTCTTGAAAAAATAGGGAACGTCATGATTCAGCTTTTTATTTGTCGTTTTATTTTAAGCTAACATTTACTGTGTTTGTGTGTGCATGGGTTACAGGGGCAACATAAATGAATTATGATATGGGGCCCAATTTCTACACAGATACCGTAAAGGTCAATGAAGTGGGGAGAGACAGTGCCCCAAATGTGAGTTAGAAAAAGGATTTGGCCAAGCTCCAGGTTCCATGTTGGTGTCCCTGCAGAGGAACATCATTTACCAGAGCACGGATTCCATATCTCAAACTCCATGATAAAGGCATAGCTCAATTCCTTCCAGCCCCTGTTGACCTAATCTCTCACCCTGTCTTTTTCCAACATGGGATCAGGGCATTCCAAACAGCAAAACACATAAGGGAGGAAAAGTCAATTCTACTTAATTGAATAATGATGTATTCTTTGTTTTTCATTTGGAGCCAGGGCTCAGTGGCGAGTAGGGTTTTTAAATCAATATGGTACCAAAAATAATTTCAATTTGAACCATTTTTATGCAGTCAAAAATAAGAATAACAGTGAAAAAAGCTTTAGAATAATTATTGTTTACTTAAATGAGTCTATGAGAAAAATAATCTTAGTTCATTCTGTGAATTCCTTAGGCTCCTTGCCCTTTGTAAAACACAAGCCATTATTGCTCAGTTTCTGGGAAGACTGGAATGTTCAGGATCAAAATTTGAATGACAGGTGCCAGGAGATGGCATGGTGGTTAAGGTGCTAGACTCCCACGTAGCTGACCATGGTAACTGACCATGGTTTGAGCACCAGACCTGGTGGCTTGAAAACCACGCTGGGTGCGTAAGCGTGCATGCCCAAAATCTTGAGAAGAGAATGGAGGAGAAGGAATTGTGGTATGGCCATCCCCCCCACCCACCCCGGGGGGGGGGATTTCCTACTTACCATTACTGTCTCTCTCTCTCTCTAGTGAGCACATGCTCCTTATGGCAAAAATCTAAAAAATTGAATGATGAAAAAATTCTATCTAATTACATAGTCTCATTTTCTAATTTTACACATCAGTCACCTGATTGTACTCCCTTTATTACTAAGGAATAATTAGAAGATTATACTGAGACTATGCCACCTATGTTTTATTGATCTTTCTCCCTGCTTTCATTTTTGTTTTTCTCCTTAGGAAACAGAACTAATGAATTTCTCAGGTGAGGCTTTTATCATTTTATTTCATACAGATCATTTCCTTCAGAATAATATGCTAATTTTAGAGTGAAATAATCCTATTAATTCCAGTGACATTGTGGAATCTTGCTATCCTCTGAGTTTACAGTTCTTTCTGCTCACCATCAAAGCAATTTATTGAAATTTATAACTTATATTTAAAAATAAGTCAGGCAGCTACAGGATACTATATTCTGAGGCTTAAGAAAAAAGTTTCAAAGCCAGTTCAATGTATTATAGGACTCCTGCATGAGCCGAATTTAAACTAAATTTATAGACTGTTATTGGTATACACAACTCCATAACAACTTATGCTGGGCATTTCAAAAGCTCATGGTAAATACTTACTAAGAGAAAACTATACATGGATTTCAATTTTTTTTTTTTTGCACCAAAACAAATGCATGCTTTAATTTTTCCATGAACTTTTTAAGGTCTCCTTATACCTGATTCTATTGGTTTCTGTTTTAACTGTGATTCGGTGAAAGGATGACCATAAACTTTGTGCCTTAGAAAGGTTTGTGGGTCATTGATCATCAGATCCATAAGAGTGATTAGAGGTGATATTTTCCAGCCCTGTTATTTTTATGGATGAAAAAAGAAGATACAGCATTGTTATAGTTTGTGCCCAGGTCATATGGCAACTTACTGGGACCCAGCAGGTGCTGGAATTAGAATTCAAGGTTGGTTTTCGGTTTTAGTTTATCCCAATCAGTTCCTTAGATCTCTAAGACTTCCATGTATTTTTCAGTATGATAAGGGGAGAAATAAATAAACATGACTTTTAGGAATGAAAATTTCATTTAGGAAAATATGTTTTCCAAAACTATTTTCTGTTTTTCAGACATTGACCTGAGCCACCATATTCCTAATATTGCTGAACTAATGACACTAAAGCAAGTTAGAAAGTTTGTTCGGGAGAATGGTATCAATGAAGCCAAAATAGATGAGATCATGAATGACCATCTCCAAGATACTGCTGAACAGAAAGTCCAGCTGCTTCGTACTTGGTATCAAGTTCATGGGAGGCAAGATGCCTGTAATACTTTGATTAAAAGTCTCAGAAGAGCCCGTCTTTGTGCTCTTGCAGATAAAATTCAAGATATAGTTAAAGGGAACCTTGCTAGTGATTGTAAAAATTCTAACTCAACAAATAAAAAGGAAGGACACAGACTGGTCTAGAGTGAAACACAGCTAACTCAGTTCTGAGTGCGAACAGTCAATTGGAAGGAACATAAGTGTGTGAAGAAGGTCTTCACAGCTGAAGACTGTGAACAGTGCTTAGCATTTTTATGTATTAGATTTGTAGAGCTAATATATTTATAGATTTTGAGGAAGTCGTGATTCTGCCTTCAAGAACAATTGACATCCAGTGACGAAGACCAACATGGTCAAGAAAAAAATGCAATGACATATTAATTGCTCCAACAGGAGTGTATACAAAGGACAAAGGACTAGCATCATGCTCTAGTATAGATTCTGCAGGTATGAATGTCATTAGTGGATGTGAGTTCAAGGATCTGTTCACCAGACGACCTCATGTCGAGGATCAACAGAAGCCATGACCTTTTGTTGTACTATCAAGACTGCAACTTCAAAGTTGTAAAGGCCACTTTGCCTCTAAATTGTCTCTTTGACTCTGTGATAATTCTAGAGATTTTTACCATATTTGTAAACTTGGAGTACAAGCCAAGAGAAGCATATTCAGGTACAGCTTGCATATGCGTTCTGCTTGAATGCAGAATTTAACAAAGTTCTACCTCAAAGATCTTTGTGCAGATTATTGATATTATATTAGAGAATATTTCAATTTTGAATTTATATAGAAAATGCAGATTAAATTGTAATGTTTGGATATTTCATGTTTATATGCCATTTTGCTGTATCAAAATAACCTACTTTGTAGTCAGGAATCAAAGTATTTTTGAGCAGGAGAGTATTACCAGAGCTTTGCCTCCTCTTCATTTTCTCCTTGATGTTCATCTTGATAGCCTAATACAGTCGAACCTGGAGTGTCACCAAAGGAATACTTAGTGATCTATTAATAGTCAAGACGGGGGACCAGCTAATGGTGCAATGGTTACATCCCTGGACTCCCACATGGCTGACCACAGTTTGACCCCTGGATTCAGTGGCTTGAAACTCATTTTGGATGCATGTGTGTACATGCCCAAAATCCCAAGAGGAGAATGGTGGAGAAGGAATTGTGAGTTGGCTATCCCCCCTGAGGGGGGGTGTGATTTTTTGCTTTCTTTCTCTCTGTCCTTCTCTCTGTCTTTCCAGAGAGCATATGCATCCTATAGCAAAAATCTCTCTAAAAACAAAACAAAACCAAAAATGTCAAGACCACCACTAGAAACTTCTAGCCTGGGTGGAGCCTCCTTTGGAGCTGTGGATAGTTTGCCAGCTCCTAGAGGACCTGGCCAACACCCACCACCATAATGTCCCACTACCTGTGTCTATGCCCCTCCTCAAACTCATCTCTGTTCATGAGGAACATGACCAGGTCTAAAGATTTATGGTACAATTGTGGTCATTATGGTCCTATAGTTCATGTGTATATTCCACTATTTCTATACTCACTGTCCAAGAAGATTTGCTTATGTTCAATTTGAGGATGTTCTGGATGCTGAAGTGCTTTCTGTAATTTGGACAGAAAATGGATTTGTGGACATCAGAATGAAATACAGTTTGCCCAGGGGGACTGGAAAATGCCGAATCAGATGTACACCAAAGAAGGGAGGAATGTGAACTGTTCCTTGCCTTGTGATGACTATGACAAATACAGACATTCTAGAAGCTGAAGTTATGAAAGAAAGAGTTGAACAAGTTGGTCTTTTGATTACAACTATACAAGATCTTATAGTCCTAGAAATTGACTGGAAGACCATAATGTGGCCAATGTCATTCTGACAATGGCAGACCAAACTGCAGCTGGAATACCCAGCACAGTTCTGCTTACTGTACTTCAAGAAAGATCTGAAAGTGGAAAAAGAATTTTTTTTTTTTAAAAAAAAAGCAGTTCAAGAACTAGTGGGTGGGATAAAAGAATATTATCAAAAACTACATTAAGACTAGCAGTTGGCATAATGGCTATGTCAGTGGACTCCCATGTAGTCGACCGCGGTTAAAGTCCCAGACCTGGTAGCTTAAACTCATGCCATGCGCATGTGCATGGGTGCCCAAGATTCCAAGAGGAGAATGGAGGAGAAGGGAGTGTTGTGTGGCCATCCCTGCCCCGGGGGTATGTAATTTCTTGCTTTCTGTCTCTCTATTTCTCTCTGTTTTTCTGGTGAGCACACATGCTCTGTAGCAAAAACTTCTCAAAAAAAAAAAAAACTACATGGAATAATTGAAGTCTCTTCAAGGTTGAAAGTAAGCCTTTTAGGACAAATAATAGTAAATTCAACTCTGTACTTGTGACAAATAATCCCTAAATATGAATAGATGTATATTGAGTCTGGATAACAGATCCCTAATAAATTATCAGAAAGTAGGATGTCTGAAGATGAAGAAAGACAGCCATAGTCTCTTGTAGTGCGTCTATTGGTCTATTGGTCTGTCTCAAACTGAATTGTGTGGGAAAAAATACGATGCGATATAAACTTTTTCTTGTTTATCTTGTCAGTCAGTTTCATTTTCACCATTATTGGCAAATTTTGCCTTTATCCTGATGCCAATGTTATCTGTCTAATCTTTGGCTTTGTTGGCATCTGAGATCATCTACTTGCATATATCATGCAGTTTAAATCCTCTTTAACCACTCTTTGCCAGGTAAATTCCGATTGTACTTGATACCAGCTAAGAGGGCCTATCTCTTTTGTAGTCAGTATATTCAATACTTACTGAGCCCTTACTATGGGCAAAGCACCGTACTGGATAATTGAGGAGAAAAAAGTCTAGTTAAGTCTAGTTAATCATTATAGTATGGCCTCATTGTTTTGTTTGAAGTGTATTATTCATAACCATATTTTCCACCATTCATATCATAATGTATTTATCAAATCCAGTGTATTATCAAAGAAAAGCAACTTGTGACTATCTGCCGTTTAAAAGTATCTCATATTTGTTTGCATCTCATTAATATAAATAATGAGAACAATGATGTTTTAATCTGTAATAAATTTGATTTATTGCTCAATGGCTGTAATATACTGGAGTTATGTTAAATTGTTAACTTTGTCTCATCAAACAGATATTAAGAAATAATCCCCCAAATAAGTATTTGACTTAGTATTAGATATAAAGGAGACACTGGGTGCTATAATTAGATTATTTTGAGGCAGACAGAGATGTTATCCCAATTGATTTAGTATGTTCTGTAACTGAGAAAATGTTCACCAATTATACCTTTTAGTGGTTGACATGTAGACTTTATGGGGAACGTGTTCTGTGTATAGTAAGTAGATAACTTTTATAGCATCTTAAAATAAAAGAGAAGGAAGAAAAAAGAAAAGAAAGGAAAGGAAAGGAAAGGAAAGGAAAGGAAAGGAAAGGAAAGGAAAGGAAAAGAAAAGAAAAGAAAAGAAAAGAAAAGAAAGGAAAAGAAAAGAGAAAAAAGAAAAAAGAAAAGGAAAGAAGAAAAGAAGAAAACTTCAAGCTTGATTTGGAGAGACTAACTGTTTTTAGAGAAGGTAGCCTTGTGGCATATCAAGAGCTCTTGTCTACTACCAAAGGTGATAAGGTAGATTTTTTAATTTTATCTCTACCCCAAAAAGTGTTCAGTACCTCCCCACGTATTCTCTTCTGCTACAAACGGCAGCTCATATACAGCAAAGATAAAATGATCATCAGATTTTAGGAACGGCCTTGTTCTTTCCTGCAGGTTTTTAGACAAACAAGCCTCTTTATTACTGCTTTGTTAGTTTTACATTTCAACAACCTCTGAAAGTTTGTATTAAATGTGACTTTTAACAAATATTTTTTATATTTATAGAGATATAAACTAAAGATTGTTATACACTGAAACAGATCCTCAGAACCACCTAAGAACTTCCATTGATGAGTTTTTTTTTTTTCCTTATGTTTGGAAATATAAAATGTAAGTAAAAATACTTCATTAAAATGTTTTTGGTATTTCTGAGTATCTCTTTTTTGGTGGGAACTTGCTTTTTGTTTTTGTTTTCCTTTTTGCTAACTACTATTAACTGTAATAGGTTTTTGAATCTTTAATGCTTTCTTTGGTCTCTTAGGAGGTACTTTCTTTTTACAGCCTATTAATAGTTAAATCATTCATTCCATAGGTTGTTACTGTTAAGCATACCTCTTCCAAATAGCACTTGATTATTTGGTCGATGAGATATTTCAGGTGCTGGAAGGCGGATCAGAAAGTATAGATTTCAAGGGGTAGGCTTTATTGGTAAGAAAGCTAAATGAGGACTTAACATTTTTTTTCTGCATACTTTCCATTGTACCTACTTGCTAGCCATTGGAGCATCTCTCTCTATTAATATTTAATTTTAATAATAAATTTGATTTAACCCATTATTTCCAAACTATTAGGATTTTAATATGTAATCAAGATAAAAACTACTAATGAGATAGTTTACATATTTTTTTCATAGTATGTCTTCAAACTCTGTTTTGCATTTTATATATACCTGCAGATTTAACTCAGATTGGATTAGCCACGTTTTAAAGATCTGGTAGACCCATGTGACAAGTGGTTATCGTATTAGATAGTTCTGGCAGGTCTAGGACAGCCTTCTCTTTCTGGTTACATTTTCCCTACTGCTAAAGTCTGGTTCCTAGGTGTGATAATGAGGTCTCTGGGTTGGTTGGAAATTCAGTACCTCCCAACCTTAGATTTTGGAATTGTCCTGCTTATAGTGCTCAGTAGTTGTTCTTTCCCCTATAGTTGGTCTTCTCTGACTCTTGGAGTCTTGTCTCTGCATGCACATGCATGTGTACCATAGAGCCAGACTCCAGAGACCCACCATACAGTGCTGGAACTACCTTCCTGTGTAGTTCCCTTCATTCCCATACTCTGTTTTGTTGAGTGCAATAGCCCCAGCGTCCTGAACTCCAATCCAACTCCAGCCTCTTCTCTTCAACTTAGCAAGATGTTTGTGCTCTGCTTAGTGTCCCCTTCCAACTCTGGCCTAGAAAGTGCCTTCGGGCAGCAAGTCTGAGTGACTACAGGACTCTCCTCACTAGTTTCTCTTCTCTGAGGGACACAGTCTGTCCCACCCGTTGTTACCTAGTCTGTAGAGAGCAGGAAGGCAAACGTGATGTTCCTCATTCTTTATGGCCAGAAGCAGAAGTCCTACTTTGCAAAATTGACTTACAGAACATAGTCTGGTTTCCCAACCAGACCTTCATTTTATTATAGTAATGAATTGAGAGTCATAGTTATCTGAGATGAAATATTTATTTTCCCTATAATGGTAGAAACAAGGGTACACATTTTTTGAGCCTTAGTTCCACTGTCTATAAAATGGAAAATTATTTCTATATTTGGGGATTTTGTGAAGATTAAATGAAATGTGTATGAAGTATATAC